ATCAGCAAGGACAATTCCCAATTTTTCTTCATTTTTTCAAGTCCACAGTCTTGAACCTGGCTTTAAAATGTTGAGGTTTAAACAAGAAAGCAGAAAGGAGGCCTGTGTGGGGGTGTGCACAATGGGAGGGAAGTTATCTGTATGCTTGGCATTAACTTTCTGGGCAGGCTTGGATCATTGTGAAGCTTTTCATAACCATGAAGGTTCAAATCTTGCTGCTCTTAAAATAAAAGCTGAGAGTCCCATCTAACCTCACACCACCAACAGCTAAAACGCAAAAGAGAAGCCACTTATCACAGCATCCAAAATAACCCTGCGGGAGTTGACAGCACTGATTTTTCCTCTAGTTATCTTCTGATCTGTCTTTCCAGTTTATTCTTTCTTTTTATCACTCAATTTTACTTCCATCTACTGGGCTGGAGCATAAACTGAAGCAGATTTCACTGTTTGCATATTATACCTGTTCTGTGCCACTTCCTTTAGCTTTAAACACTCTTTTTTCTCCTTTTTCCTTTGTAGATCCAGTACTTAAGGCCCGGAGTTTGGTGTCAAACCCAACTCGTCACTGGTTTAACTGGGGGAAGGCAGAATTGTTGTTTCATGACTTCATGGCATCAACCACAAATCACATCACATGTGCATGCACATGTTTCACTTCTGCTTAATGCATCCTTTCAATGGAGAAAGAATTGACTTGAGATTCAGAGAAGGTGCTGTTTTCTATTTCATATTGTTGGGATTCTGTGACCCCACTGATTTTGCTCAAGAGCTGATGTGATGCCTGATAAATAACCCCCATTTTCACCTCCTGAACCATCAGCCCCGTCACCTGCAATATGTAGATGCATTACTGAACAAAAGCTCGTTATTCATCACTATGAGACATTTTCTAGGGAGCTCCTCCTTTGGGGAATGAGCCCAAATGGAAGCTGGTTAGATTGAAGAAAAAGATCTGTAATTCTTACAAATCTTATTCATTATTAACAGAGCGTTTCATAATACTGATGAGAATGTCAGAATTCAAATGCTGCAGCTGGAAAAGCACAAAAATATTTAACCCGAGTTAAATTTACCCTGATGAACCTTTGGAACTGTTCTTTGCTCCCTTCTCCAAGCAGTTAAACTTGCAAACAGATCTAGCTTGTTTTATTGTCAGCAGCATCTATTCTGCTTAGCACACACTCTAGATGAATTTATTCACAAGCCTATTTTTAACCCACCAACACAGAAATCTGTAGAAAGCAGCAAGCTGATAAAAGCTCAGGAGTCACAGTAAAAAAACAGCGTGAAGATAGCTCCATGCCAGGGACATCCAGAAGGGGATGGAAAGTCCTTTACATGTCATTCTTCATTGTAAAAAGCCACCAAATCTAAGTGAAAGCAACTGGTTCACATAATATTAGACACATCTAGATTGGTGCAAGAGGATTTATCCCTGTTTCCTGCTTTGCCATCACACCAATTTCCCTGCTTAGGATGATCCCCCTAACAATGAAGTGGGGAACCCAGTGCAGACTATAAAGGACTTTGCACCAAGGACAAGGCTGGCCCCACTTCATAGCACAGTAAATGGCAGCGCTTCTCCAGGAACATTCGACACAGAAAACAGGCGCTCTTTTAATGCCCTTGGGAGACTAAATGCCATCAAGTGCTGTGTGAACATCACAAGCACTTGGGCAAGCTTTACACACCAGCAAGAAGCATTTGAGGGTTTATTGTGCAGGCTTGCTGAGATTGCTGGAGGTTGGCTTATATTCTGCTGCATTCAAGCAGCAAAACTTGACAGTCCACTTCTGTGGGCCATGAAGTGCAAAGCTCCCCCCATAGCAGCACATGATCCTTTGACCAGTTTTCTTTTCAGTAGCAGATTTTGAACATTAACAGTTGGCTGCTTTTACATAGTGAGAGCCAAAGAAAATCCTGGAAGCTATTCCGAGGTTAAAGTCAGGGCAGCATTTTCACCAGCCATTCTGTTGTACACTAAAAGGATTTAGTGGCTTCCAGGAGAAAGGGCTGATTTGCTTCTATCGCTCCTCTTGGCTCACTTCCTCTCTCCTCCTCCCCTCATCACCATTTCTTGTCTCCTACAAATCAGTGTTTGAAGATCTTGTTGCATTTTTTGTTACCCTTTCAAGCGAAATAGCCTGAATTTCCTTTACTACAGAGGATCCAAACTTCCAAAATAAGTCTCTTCTAACCCAAGTGATGCATTTATTAAAGCCATCAGTAAGCACGAAACAGTCCCTGTGCTGTGCAGATGAGAGACACGACACACTTCTTCCCTAATAACTGAAATTATATAAGAGGTGACACACAAAGGGACAGGAATAACTCCAAGAGGACAAGTCATCAGAGACCTGGCTGGTTAAAATCTGGTCTTTACAGCCAAAATGCCCACTCTATGCACCTCAGTGGATAGTTACGCTCTTAATGCGGTTCATGTAGAGTCTAAAGAGCCACAATGATTTAACTTTGACAAACTAATGCTGTGTCTAGGACAGAGAGGGGGTAAAGATGAAGAGATCTTCCCAAAACCATTAACTTTCATTAAGAGGAATACAAAATACACTGGAGTGTATTACAGAAATACACCTTGGAGCTAACAGTTTCAGTCATTCATTTTGAGCAACCCGGTCTGGTGGAAGGCATCCCTGCCCATAGCAGGGGGTTGGAACTGGATGATCTTAAGGTCCTTTCCAACCCAAACCATTCCATGATTTCCACAGAATGATTTGGGAGGAGTAGGAGGGCTCATTACTCAGGAAACATAAATACCCAGGGAAATGTTTATTCTGAACCTGATCTAGTTCAAGATGTTCCTGCTCACTGCAGGCAGGATGGACTAGATGACCTCTGAAGGTCCCAACCCAAACTGTTCTGTTTCTGTTCTATGATTTTTCTCCACGTACTTTCCAGCAGTGGAGAAGGCCACTTTCCCCACAGTCTGATACAGCTGTTGAGCTTCTATCAAAGAAGGGGTTGAAAATGTTACTGTCAAAAGAAAGGGGGGAGGAAAGAAGGGGAGAAAGAGGCTCTAGGAGAGGAAAGCCTTGTTTTTTGAAAGCCTTAAAAAGTGCTTCTCTTATTCTACACGAACATTTCTTTACATGACTTTTCCATCTGGGATACATTAACATAGCCCTGGGATAAGCAACCTTCTATTATTTCCATAGTTTCCATAGGAAAATCCAAGTTCCCAATAGAAGAACCTCTTAAGAGAGAATCTTCCTTATGAGGGGCAACAAAATGTTTCAAACGTCTAAATTAATTGCTATAGAGCTACTGAAAAAGGATGGGGCAGAAAGTCAGCAAAAAGACTCAACACCTTCTCACGGCAAGACATAGAGCTGTTGGAGCAAGTCCAGAGGAGGCCATGAAGATGATCAGGGGCTGGAGCACCTCCCCTATGGAGACAGGCTGAGAACACTGGGGTTGCTCAGCCTGAAGAAGGCAAGGCTGCATGGAGACCTCAGAGCAGCTTCCAGTGTCTGAAGGGGGCTACAAGGATGCTGGAGAGGGACAGGACAAGGGGGAATGGGTTCCAACTTAAACAGGGGAAGTTCAGGTTCTCCTTGTTTCTTTCAGTACTCCATAAACTTCTTTTTCTTTAAGTACTACATAAACCACTGGCAAAGTAAAACCAGCTGCAGAAATGCTGAGCATGGAACATGCGGCAAGGACAACCAAGCAAGGAGCATCCTGCCTGACGTTACACAGGCATCCCTTTCCTCCCGTTAGGCCTTTGCAGTTATAGAACAGAAATGTGTGGATGTTACTTGCTCAAGATCCTTCACACCTGCAACCAACACATCACTGGGATGAAACTCACTGGAATTGGTGTTAATTTAATCCAGCTCCTGCCCAAGGCTGAGTTTAAGAGCAGCAGTCGTTTATGAGGCACTGAGTTACCGATAAGGTTGCAGTGACAGTCATGGGGCACAGAAGGTGATCAGTTACAAAATCAGTGATTTTATATTTAAGAGAATATAATCCAACAGTATTTGAACTACGAACACGATGCCATCAGCTGTTTTCTTTCCTCTGATATGGGAGTACAATGGCTATGGACTAAATGGTCCATAACAATGAAGAAGTGCTGAAAATACAGATGCCTCTAAGACTACTTGAGGTAGGAGGGGATGGCAGCCCCAGGTACCCGCCATGGCCTGGCACTGAGACATCCTATCCTCCTTATCTAACCAAAAGGCTTATGTCTGTCTAAATGAGCACCTCCACTTCCATGAATGGGAGACCTTATTGCAGCCTTTCACTTCTTAAAAGGGACCCATAAGGAAGATGGGGAGAGACTTTCAGCAGGGCTTGTTTCAACAGGACGATGGTTTAAAACTAAACAAACAGGTGATGGTTTTAAACTAAAAGAGGGAGATTGAGGCTGAATGTGAGGAAGCAATTCTTTACAATGAGGGTGGTAAAACCTTGGCACAGGTGGCCCAGAGAAGTGGTGGATGCCCCATCCCTGGAGACATCCAAGGCCAGGCTGGATGTGGTTCCTGGCAACCTGATCTAGTTGAAGATGTCCCTGCTCATTGCAAGAGGGTTGGACTTTGAAGGTCCCTTCCAACCCAAACTATTCTACGATTCTGTGAGCGAGCATGGGCAGCAGCTGAAGGATACAGAACACTTGGTAAGAAAACACCCCAACCACCTCACTAGAATGAAAGCAAGGCAAGAATACACTGGGAAGAAAGACTGCAAGAAGCAGAAAGATGATGATGACACGCAGAAATAGGAGGAAGATGAAACTCTTCCTCTTTCACCACTTAAACAAGCGCCATAGCTTTGCATCACCCGACTTCTCCAACCCAATTTTCACCAACTCCCCGTGCTGAACAGGAGTGCATTTCACCCTGCTCGCTGCAGTACTGAGTAACGCAAACCCACCCCATCAGCGACCCTGGGTGCACCAGCTAGAACAACGCCTGTAACGCCAGCGCAGCCAGCGATGGGCTGCTTTAGCAGGGGAGCAGGGTGCCACTCACCTATGATGCCGCTGTCCCTGCTCTCCAGCGTGGAGGTGGGGCTGGTGACGGCGCCGTAGGTGCAATCCTTGGTGGTGACACTGGTGCTGACGGGCGGGAGCGTGGAGCAGGGGCTGCTGGCGGGCGGCGAGGCCGTGCTGCTGGTGAGCGTGGAGCAGGGGCTGATGCGCTGCGTCACGGCCGAGCTCTGCAACAGGGAAAGGGGGAACAAGTCACTCACCACTGCCAGGCCCTGGGCGGCAAGAGGCTTTGTATGGCTCACACTTGAGGATTTGCTTTGTCAGGGGAAGGTAAAAAGTGCTTTAGTGCTCAGAGCGACAAGGTCTGCTGAGCCTCCCCACGGGGTGGGCAACACAGGCAGCAGGCTTGTTTGCTGCGGCTTGCTTTAAAGCTTCCAGCTTCCAGGCTCCACAGGAAACACATCAATAAAGTGGGGTTAACCAAATGCCTGACTCCAGACTTTACTGGGGATTTTGATCATTTCAGTTGAATCCCAGCCTGGTTTGGGTTGAAGGGTCCTTAAAGCTCAGCCACTTCCAACCCCTGCCACAGGCAGGGACCGCTTCCACTAGAGCAGCTTGCTCCAAGCCCCTGTGTCCAACCTGGCCTTGAACACTGCCAGGGATGGGGCAGCCACAGCTTCTCTGGGCACCCTGTGCCAGCGCCTCAGCACCCTCACAGGGAAGAGCTTCTGCCTTATCTCCAACCTGAACTTCCCTCTTTCAGTTTTAACCCTATCCCTACAGGTCCTCACAAAACGTCCCCCTCCAAGAAAAGCCTAAATAAGCAAAATACTATGAAACAGTGAAGTAAATTAAGCAACATCTTAAGTGCCATTAAGAGGACATCTCCAGGGTGATGATGATACAACATGATCTCACCTCTACTTACAGCAAGACACATCATACACAGGAAATCCTGCAAAGGCCTCTGGGCCATTTCCATCTGCTCAGAAGCCTCCATGGGGCTTCAGTTCTTATTCTGCTCTGTAAAGGTCTCCTCCATTCAAGGAAACCAACAGTGGTTTTACACCCCTGCACCAGGAAGCTCAAAATCCCTTATCTAGATAGGAGACAGCCCTGCCCAGACATGCTTCCCCCACCAGATAAGGTTTAAAACACGTAATAGGGAAAATGTTGCTCTCCAAAGGCAGAACAAAACAAAGAAATGCAGCAGCACAAAAAAGATGGGGTTTTAAAAGTTATCTTGGGAAGATACTGGGTGCAAGAAACCTGAAGTGTTCAGGGAGAAGCTGTGGCTGCCCCATCCCTGGCAGTGTTCAAGGCCAGGTTGGATGGGGCTTGAAGCAACCTGAGTGGTCTGGATTAGATGATCTCCAGAGGTGCCTTCCAACCTCATCCTACACACCTAAAAGTTTAACCAGTTTACATGGGGAATCTTTCAGAATGTGAAGCATTAGGACTTTAACACTATTATGGCTCCTCAGCACAAGAGAGACAAGAAGCTACTGGAGAGGGTGCAGTGGAGGCCACAAGGATGCTCGGGGGTCTGGAGCAGAGATTGCTGGAGCTGGGCCTGGTTAGAGAAGAGCAGACTGAGAGGGGACCCCATCAATGCAGATCAACAACTCAGAGGAGGAACCAGGAGGATGGTGCCAGACTCTTCCCAGTGGTGCCCAGCAGCAGGACAAGGAGCAGTGGCCATAAACTAAACCACAGCAAGTTTCACCTCAGCATGAGGAAGAACTTCTTTCCATTGAGGGGGCAGAGCCCTGGCACAGGCTGTCCAGGGAGGCTGTGGAGTTTCCCTCTCTGGAGATATTGAGACCCACCATGAACACATTCCTGTGTGCCCTGCTCTGGGTGGCCCTGCCTTGGCAGGGGTTGGACTGGATGATCTCCAGGAGTCCCTTCAACCCTAATGATTCTGTGATGCTAAATTCTTTACAGTGAACTTTTTATGTCCTCCTTTCAACCGCTATTTTAGACAAATCCCTGCTGAAGCCCCTCTCAGTACTAACAAAACAACCATCCACTGACCTTAAAACACAGCAAAACTACACTTTAAAGCAAACTGCAGGACAAGAATGGCACTTGAAGCAATGAAGAAATCATCTTCATCCCTCCAGCTGAGGGAGAACAAGTGTTTCACAAAACGCCAAAAGTGATATTCTAAGTTCTTTTATGTGAGCTTTTATGCAGCTCCTTAAGAACAACTACTTGCAACTGGAAATGCCTGAATAACACGGGATATCACTTGGCATTGATTGACATGTTTTATTTCTGTATTGATAGAGAAAAAAGGCTCCTCTGTGCAAGTTTTAAATACAAATTGCCATTGACAGAACATTCTGTATTCTTCCTGCTGCTGTTTCATCTGTCACATTTTCCCCAAGCTTTGAGAAATGACACTGTTCTGACACAGCCTCATTGTCCTTTGTGCTCCTCTGGCAGGCAGTGCAGTTAAAAAAGAGTTTCCCCTTAAAAAAGTAGGAGAAAGAGGATTTCTTCTTCAGCATTTTGTGGTCTCTCATTAAGGAAAGCGTGATTAAGAGACAGTACAGTAACACACACCATTTCAGAGCACTCTGAATTACAGGCTATCCTTTGACATATTCAAAGTGAGGCAACTGAATGAAAATGCAACGTGCCCATTGATAAATCAGGGTGGGTTTAGTGGAAACACCTTTATTCCTTAGTTCCACCTTAGCTCCAGCATTGGCAAGATTGCAAGGGACGATTTTCTTGCTTGAGAAAGCAAAGCATGGTCAGAATTCCAAGCAGCAGCCAAGCCCCAGCTTCTGATAAAAAGAACGTTTTCTTTGCCCAGGCCTTGTCAATGGACTCATTAAACCCTAGGAAATGGTTCTTGTTTTTAAATTCAAGTGCAAACTCTTAGTCAAAGTCTCCATCAGATTAATCAATGATGAAGGGAAGAAGGAATCTCTGCAAAGCCCATGTCTCGCTGCATGAGATGATTCTGTGATTTTCAACATTACTTGAAGCAGGGCAGCTGAAGAAACTCCATTTGGGAAGGAGAACTGCAGATGTTTGCAGAAGAGCTGCTGCAATTTGGAAGAAGCTTTAGCTTGGACAGGACTTGTGCATGGCTCCTGCCCCAGAACAGCCAGTGGTAGATGGCAGAAGTCAGAGAAGGGCCACCAAGAGTGTAAGGTGCCTGGAGCTTGTTTTGAAGGAGGAGATGCTGATGGAGAGGATTCATTCAGCATGGAGAAGAGACAGCTGAACTGCACCTAAGGACAGCTGCAGCCTTCTGCCGTGTGCAGGGGCTGAGAGGGGCTGCTCTCTCAGAAGGCAAAGACAAGATGCTGCAGTCATAGGATGTATCAAGGCAATTCTGTAGCAGGTAGAAGACAAAAATCCTTCGCAGGCAGAGTCATCAAGCCCTGGAACAGGCTGCCCTGTTCTCTACCTGTGGAGATCTTCAAACCTCACCTGGACAAGGCCTGAACAACCTGGTCCAGCTCTGAAGCTGCCAGCAGGTGGTTGGATGAGATGGTCTCCAGGGATCATCTCCAGCCTCAAGCATCCTGGGACTCCAGGCAAGGGCTGACAGCAGGAGATGCTCACAAAGAAAGATAAGAAATCAACTTGGTAATTGAGGAACCAGCTTCCCTTTATCTCCAGCAGCACATGAAGAGCATTCAAAGGCCCTGATAAAGCTTTGTGATGCAAGAATTAGCACGTGGCCCAAGATACCCATCTATTTTAGAGGACAACTCTCTGCTGCTTCTCTTTAGGTTTTTCTTTTTCATTCTCCAAAGGCATCTTTTGCTTTAGAGAAAAGACGGGATTTTAATTTTTGTCAAAAGGCAACAACAAAAAGAACCATTTATAGTAGAAAGCTCTGCTTGGCTTTGAAGTATTCAGTTCAAGCAGGCACCTGTTAAAAGTACATTTTCTAGCACAATGTGCAGTGAAGTACATTTCAAATCCACCACAACTCGCCTAAAACATGGACTGAAAGTGTTAAAAGCTTAATGAATGTCTTAAAGTCAAAAACTTGACAGAATCATGTTTCTTGGCTTTCACGTGTCCATGCAGAAGATCAAAAACCTTTTGGTTTAGTCTACGGCAGAGGAACAAGCCCCAGGACACAGCCCTGCACCCTGCTCACCAGGAGCACCCTCTACTTTGTGCTGGGAGCAGACCAGGGCTCTTGGAGCAACTGGAAAATGGGAAAACTGGAGTTCCCTTCCCATTGGCTCAGGCTGGGAGAAAGATTCACATGTGCCACCAGAGCCACCTCCATAGAATCCCAGACTGGTTTGTATTGGAACAGACCTTAAAGCTCCTCCAGCTCCAACCCCTGCCACGGGCAGGGACACCTTCCACTAGAGCAGCTTGCTCCAAGCCCCTGTGTCCAACCTGGCCTTGAACACTGCCAGGGATGGGGCAGCCACAGCTTCTCTGGGCACCCTGTGCCAGCGCCTCAGCACCCTCACAGGGAAGAGCTTCTGCCTAAGAGCTCATCTCAGTCTCCCCTCGGGCAGGTTAAAGCCATTCCCCTTGGCCTGTCCCTACAGGCCCTTGTCCCAAGCCCCTTCTCCAGGTTTCCTGCAGCCCCTTCAGGCACTGGAGCTGCTCTCAGGTCTCCCCTTCAGGAGCCTTCTCTTCCCCAGGCTGACCCAGCCCAGCTCTCTCAGCCTGGCTCCAGAGCAGAGCTGCTCCAGCCCTCGCAGCATCTTTGTAGATTCCCCTGGATCTGCTCCAGCAGCTCCATGTCATTCCTGTGCTGAGAACTCTTCTTGGCTGCCACTTTTCATTAATTATTTTCTTTCTTAAGGAATTCAGGACCTGAAGTCAGGTCCTATGAATCATGCACATGTTAAAAATCTAAGCGCAGACTCATGGGATGACTCTGTTAAAAGGAGAAAGCATCAGAAGTGAGTGGGCTTCTGAGTTTCATGCTTTTCTGCTACACACTGGACTATCCATTTCCATTTAAATGAAGGGAAAAACTATCTCCCGGTTTCATTCTCATCTCACCAGCACTGCTGGGAGTGGGCAGTATCCAGGCTTGAGGAGGAGAAACAAACTCAGCCAGCTCCCACAAAATCTCTGTCATAGGCCTGAGCTTTCTGCTCTCCAGCTTTTCAGCCAGCTGGAGGGGATGTAACAAAGCTTGATCATAATAAAGACTTCATGATTTGCTTTCTGTCTCCGTCTGCAAGCATGAAATCACCTTGTTCAGCAAACAGGAGCAGAAAGTGTGACTATCTGTACAAACAGTCTATTCCTCCTTCCCTCTCCTCCCCGGGGGAACCGGGAGCCTTTACGTAACATTGCTGAAGCGTTCCTAAAGCATTCTATCCACGATGCCATGGAAGTACAAACTATTTTGGTCACTATAACCTGATGAGGGATGCTGCCCACTCCTACAGCACTTGCAAGAAACAGAAAAACAACAGAAGCTGTTTCACACGGCAGCAGCTGATCCTGCACCGCGTTCTGTGACAATGATTCACCGTTGGACAAGGAGATAGAACCTTTTGCCTCCTCACTGTTAGTTCACTGCTATGAGGCACCCAGCTGGCACCCAGCTGGAACAAAACCCCTCTCCCACATGCTGCGTTTGGCTCACAAACCGGGCTGTAGAAGAGGAGGGATCAGAGGGCTCGTACCTGGTTCTCATCCTGCACCTCCATGCTGTACTGGGGCCCTGACTGAACCTCCGTGACTTTCTCTCCGAGGAGGAAGCCCAGGCGAGTCATGAGTGTATTTGCTGCCTCATCTACGGATGGAGGGGGTCCCAGCTCCTGCTCAGTGTCACCTAAACAGGAAGAAAAACAGGTTCAGTCATGAATTGTTTAGCTTGGCGACTGCTCAGTGCTTTTACCAACACAACACTGCTAAATCCCTGTGCTGCACTGCCAGCATCCTGGTTTTCACAGAATCATTGAATTACAGCATGGTTTGGGTTGGAACGGACCTTAGAGTTCATCCACACCCAACCCCTGCCACGGGCAGGGACCCCTTCCCCTAGAGCAGCTTGCTCCAAGCCCGTGTCCAACCTGGCCTTGAACACTGCCAGGGATGGGGCAGCCACAGCTTCTCTGGGCACCCTGTGCCAGCGCCTCAGCACCCTCACAGGGAAGAGCTTCTGCCTAAGAGCTCATCTCAGTCTCCCCTCTGGCAGGTTAAAGCCATTCCCCTTGGCCTGTCCCTACATCCCTTGTCCAAAGCCCCTCTCCAGCTTTCCTGCAGCCCCTTTAGGCACTGGAGCTGCTCTGAGGTCTCCCCTTCAGGAGCCCTCTTCTTTTTCAGGTCATTCATGCTACTCAAGACTGTTTTAACGTTATGGTCTGGTCATTAATTGTAGGTTATGCATTGCTCCAGCTGTCAATTCATGCTTACACATGTTATTTCTCCTTTCATTGCTCACTATATTCCCAGCATCTCCCAAGGAAGCAAACCCACCTTGCCTTCCCCACACCAGAGGTGCCAGAGCCACTAGGGAACGTGATTTCCTGGACCAGCAATGGAAAAGGAAGAGCTTTCCATCTCCTCTCTCATGTAGAGACCACCTAAAGAAACCAAGGCTACCCCTGCCATTTTGAACACACTGCATGGGCTGCAGAGCAGCCAACGTGCACCACTAAGGTGTTAACAGGAAAGACCAGGATAGCAAACCCATGGGCACATCTTCTGGTGTCACCTGCTGTTTCCAGCACGCTCCCTGCTACCTGGAAAGCACCACTATCCAGACACCAAACCGCCTTGTGCAGTCACCCCATGGCCACGATGCAAAGCCAAGTCCACCTCCCATTTCCTCATCAGGTCTACAGAACAGGTCAAATCCAGCATTCCAGAGCATTTTTCCTTCTTTATTTCAGCCATCTGCAGGAAGAACAGCTAGCAATTCCCACTGGGAAAAGTTTTTTTGGCATGTTTTTTGGCATCATTTTCACTTTCGTAACAGGATTTTGTGGGGGGTGTTTGACTTGCAGCATCACAAAAGGTAAGCTGGGTTCTGAACATTGAGCTCTTCCCTGCTCCCACCAGCAGCAGTTCAAAGCCTGAAGGTCAAGTCCTTTCCACAGTACACCGAAGCAATACTGCGCTTAGTGCAGTTGTAGGAGACTAATTAGGATTTGCAATTAGTCTACAGTTAATTATTCATCTCATAATGTGCAATCTGGAAAAGAGCCCATCTCCATTTCCCAGCTCCGGCCTGGTTCGGGGTGCTCTGACACAGCCTAAAGCTACAGTAAAAAGATAATGCTTTCACTATTGCTTTTTGATAACTGAAACCCTCAAAGCACAGAACCTGGGATATGGACAAGAGCTTCCAGAAATTCCCACTGAGGTCCATAACGTTCACCTCAAGCAAGCTTACAGCAGTTTTTCAGTGTCTCACCTGCACTACTGCAAATTCAAAACCCTGGAGCATCTCGCATGCAGCCACATCTGCATCCATAAGCACCATTAACTCTGGGAGAGGAGCATCTGGAGAAGTCCTTACCCAGTGACTTCACTGTTATGAAAATGGATTATGCAGTATGATAATAGAAGCTGTCTTTCAATTATTGAATCCCTATTGTACTGCTTCAAACCCTGCTGACGTGAATGCCATAGATTAAGAGAGAGACAAATTTAGATGGATGGCCCAATTTTCTCAACTGCTGACCACCCACATCCAATCTGTGGGCATTTACTATCTCTGGGAGTCAAATCCAGAACGTACATTTATGTAAAGTGAAAATTACCCAGACTTTGACTTCCAAGGTTAGGTTTTTCCCTTAAAAATGTAGCCTTTTAGAGTTTATCCTAGAGATCTGCACCAAGGATACGGCTCTGTTCAGAATTAGTAGAAGTTTCTTAAGCATTCCTCATCCTGCTTCCATGATATTAGTAAGACTCCAGCCACACTGACTTCCACATCTTGGCAGAAATGAAAAGCTGGATCTATCCCTGCACTGCCTGGGAACGTGCCTGGATTGTGCTGGGGGGGCTTCCTTGGGCTCAGCATTAGGAACCTCTCCCAAACCAACCAGAAGAACCTGCTCCTTGGAGGCTGGGTGTGAGCATGTCCTGAAACCTCCCCTTTTCATCCTACCCTAGAATATGCCCCAGGGGCACAAAGCTCTTTCACCTGTAAAATAAAGGAAATGATGAGCTTATCTCAGGTCACTGAGTAAGAACATAGAAGATACAGAGGATTACAACTGCCTTCTTTGATAACTGCCCTAATTCAACTGCAAGATGCTGCTCACAGCACAAGGGATCAACAGCAGCAACCTAAGCTGTTCAAGAGTGTCCGAGTTCATGTAGAACCATCAATTCCTTTATTATATTGTGGCTTTCAAAGTACAGATAACTTTGAACTTCAGCAAAGCACTACTGGACTGGATTAGTCCCTCTTTTGGTTACAGGTCTTTAAAAGTAAGTGCAGGCATTTAATTGAGTGTCAAAGAAGAGAAAGCACAGCTCTGAGATGCCTGTGAATGGGTATTATGGAAAGAAGCTGGAACTTGCCTTTCAAGGTTGACAGTAAGCTCTAATACTCCAAGTTCAATGGAAGGGCATCACTGGGTTTCTCCTCCCTTGCCATGCATGCTATCCAGTTGAGGCTGCAGCCAAGTGTTACACACACGTCAGCACGCTCTGTTCCCTCAGTCCCATGAGGGAAATTCGAGCCCCAGCTGATAGCAGAACAGACCTGAGGTATTTTTAGGTATTCTGACAGTATCACAGCTCAAACACACCTCCTACAGTCACCTCAAGTAAGTGACCTCCAGTACATTAACAGACCCCAACAAGCCACCCAGCACGCACACGCAATGAAGTCAATCAGTAGACCCAGCGAGAGATCCATCAGGTCCTGCTGCATTTGCTATGTGAGCTCATGCACTTGTGCATCAACACTGGGTAATACTAAAAAGTGGATCAAAATGTGCCAGGGATTCTAAATCAGAATAAGAACCCACTTAACCCCCTGACTCACTGCATGTCCATGAGTAGTTCAAGGAGTTCTAAAGACGGTGTCACTTTATGTGCCTTCATGCCCAGCTGAAAGCTTATGTTTTCCTATATACACACAGGGAAAGGCACCTTGGAGCTGGTGTAGGTGAACCAGACCTACCCAGCACCCGCTGGGTCTCCTGCTTGGTCCCCAGTGGCCATCAGACCACCTAATGTGTACGTTCATGCCAGCTGACATCTTTAGTAAGCTGGTTCGGTCGTTTAAGTCTTGTTTAGTTTTCCATGAATCACAGAATCCCAGGTTGGGAAGGACCTCAAGGATCATCTGGTCCAACCTTTGCAAGCAAAGCATGACCAAGACCAGATGATCCAGCTACCTGTCCAGCCCAGACTTAAAGGTGTCCAGTGTTGGGGAATCCACCACTTCCCTGGGGAGACGATTCCACTGGCTGGTTTTCTCATTGGGAAAAGTTTTCCTCTCATTTCCAGCTGGAATCCCCCCAGGAGTAACTTGTGTCCATCAGCCCTCACCTTTTCCACGTGACTCCTTGAACAAAGGGGATCTCCATCTTCTTTAGACCCACCCTTTAAATACTGGAACATTGGAAGTAAGAGGTCTTTAATGCTAAGCACTGTTGCAGCGTTCCAGCGTTGACAGAGAAACTTCCCCCCCCCCCGGAATCTGTTGTGTTGAATTTCCAGGCAAACGCTCCAAACCTCGAGTCAGTATTTCAGTGCTGAAGTCAGAGGCAAAACCAAAAGGGATTTACTAGATGTTTGCCACTAGTCCAAGGACTTTGACATCAGAGATGCAGAAACACAGTGCACTGAATTCCTTATTTCTAATACCATAAATAAAAAGCCATGAACTGCTCCAAGATGGATTGGTCTCAACAGCTGTAGCTTGGTTGGAAGGAAAGGAAATTTGTCCAATAGTGCAGGGACTATTCGTTATGTTTTCATCACAGAAATGTAAGCAATCAGCCTCCCTTTGCACTGCAAAGCCAAATGAACTCAAAAAGAAGCCACTGAGATTCCTTTGTGGTGAGCTATACATGAATTGGATGGATCTTCTGTAAAGTGAAAGAAGAATAATAGTCAAGAGACTGCATGAAATATGTAACTGAATTTTAGGTAGGGTCCCCTAAAAGCTACACTAGAAGATACTCCTTACTTTTAATCCTTGAAGTTGAGAAGAGACAGGTAACTGCAGCACTGCAGGAAAAGCTCCTGCAGAGGTGAGAAGCACTTTGTCCATTTAGATTAAACTACTGCATGTGTTTAGGCTCCCTGCCTTGTGTATCTCCCAGAGCAGAATGGTGAATCATGGAATGGTTTGGGTTGGAAGGGAACTTCAGGATCATCCAGTTCCACCCCCTGGATTGGGTTGAGATTTTCTGTAGGCCCCCTTTAAAAAAGCCTCTAACTTCTATATAGAGGTCAGAGCAGGAAGGAAAAACCCGACAGTGGTGATCCAGGACTTGGGACAGATCTGAAAACCTCACCAGCACAACCCTGCCTGTGCTACCCTGCTCTCTCAGAGCAGTGACAAAGCCTGGGATGTCTCTCCAGCTTTATCCATGCATTTCCCATTCCCAGGTTGCTTCCCCAGCTCTGGAGGACAAGTGGCTCCTGCGGCCCATCAATACTGCCCACAAGAGCTGTTATCGATGAGACCGTGCCCAAGGCTGAACGTGCACATCACCCCCTCCCTGCGCTCTCAGTCTGGCTGACCCACAAAACAAGTGGTGCTCCCTGTCTGCTCTACCAGCACTGGTCATAGAAGCACAGAGTGGCAGGGGTTGGATGCTGGGAACAGTCAGAATGCTGCTGAATGGAGAGGAACAA